ACGACAGCGACGAGGACAAGCGGAAACCGGCGAGAGACGGCGGGTCGTCGAGCGTCGGCGGCGGCGGCGGCGTCGATCGCGAAGTCTCCTCGGCGAGGATCGAAGCGGTCTTCGATAGGGAGCGGGGGGATCGCGGCCGAGAGGTTCTTCGCCGGCCCGGGAGGAAGAGGTTCAGAAGCATCGCCGAGATTTACGCCGTCACGAAGCCGATCGAATCGAGAAGGATGAGTGGTCATAATGTGATCAGATGAGCATACAGGTCACGGGTCTTTCTTGGGTAAACGATGGTTATCGTCATAGTCTAGCGAGCCTTTCGTTGGTGCTAGGGATGTTTTCTTCGACTACTGTTCGAATTTCAATTTCGAGACTTTTGATGAAGAAAATTTTGTCTTAGCGTTAATGAGTTTTTCTTTCGGTCTCCGTGTGTGCGCGTGGCCACTTTCCTTGCAGACTTGCGTGTTTATACTCTTTCCTTTTTTGCATGATTAGGATAGGAAAAGCGTAGGCTTTGAGGAACAGAAGAAAGAGTATACGCTAAAGCAACTTCATATGTTTGGATTATAAAAAACTGAAGGATAACGCGAGGTGTTGGTTTCTACCCAGAATTGATTCTTTGCTTCTTCGTCTTCTTCCTTGCCCTCCTTCATTTCTGCTTTGCTTGTGCATTCTCATGCAAGGACGAACATGGTCAAAATCAAGCCACACTCAGGCACGCTTCACATCCTCTTTTCCAGTTCTAAATGCAGAATGGTTATAACTGGTCTGGCAGCTTCGCGGTGCCTCAAACACGAGCAAGTGCAAAGCCATCTTTCCAACTTTACAGAAACACGGTTCAACCTTCTATTAATAGTGACTTCTAGCTTTCAGACGAAGGAATTCGTCAGGGAATCGTTTCGGAAAACTTGTTAAGCAAGCAGTTGAGGAAAGTTTACCGCGGTTTTGTGGCGCGTCGGTGTTCTCTTGTCGCATGTAATCGTCGCTGTTTCGCAATTTAAAGCATTCATTGGAAGCACTCTTTGATAAGATTCTTATATTAAACATCATCAGTCTCCATATAGACACTGCAAGCGCATGAAGAAATAATGAAGGCATTGTCAAAAATTGGATGGAGTATAGCAGTAGGCGAATGGGATGAGGTAGCACTTCAGATGGTCCAATGAAGAAGGGAATTTGATGTAGGCTTTCTCAGATAAATTCTCCTCGATTATATATATATATATATAAGTTCAAAACACATTTTTATGTCAGCTTTGTGTTTCCAAATTTATGCTCTTATCATCTGCTATCTTTTAAATGAAATATCTCGTTCCCGTTCTCCATTTTGATTAGTATTTTTCAGTGAAAAACATTTTTTGAGACTAAAATTGTAAAACAGTAACAGATTGTTGACTAGCCATTACTACTTTAATTTTAAAGCTCCTCACTATCTCAAGAAACATTATTCAAATTCATTTATGAAACTCACGTCGTGTGCATGCTTACATATCTATATACACACACTTCAAGAGATCAACTCAAATTCGGTTAATCATTTCCTTCTACGAGTTAACGATGTCATTTTCTTTTTCAATGTTTTTATATATTTTTAGGAATCAATCATTCATTCCATTAATTAACTCTTACCTGTGTAATGAGTAACCAATTTATGTCACTGACATTTTTGTTATGAAGACATTTTCCCCTTATCGTTTAATTTGTATTTATTCTTCATCTTAAAATATATATCTTATCTATCTCTATTAACCTGGCTGTATCTATCAAACTTAAAAAAAAACTTGCTTTAGTACTTTTACTGATATTTATTTGTTATATTATCATTATTTCTGTTAATTTAATTTTCTTCCATATTCTATATATATATATTTTTCATTTTTCACAACAAAGCCTCTCCAACTGCTCCATTTCATAGGAGCTGTTGTGTAGCTATTACTAATATATCAATCTTCTGGTTAACATTGGTCAAGTCTGATCTGGACCGGTGAAAGCTTTGAGTCAAGTGGCTTTGAGCACTTTGTTCTAGGCATTGCACATACTACAGGAAAAAAATGGAGGGTTAATAGCTGTAAGTGAAAATTACACAAATAATTCATGAACTTTGGCCCAATGTGTAATGTGATTTCTGAACTTTTAATTTGTTCAATATAATTCCTAAACTTTAGTTTAATGTTCAATGTTATCCATAAACTTTTGGTATATGTTCAATTTAGTCCCTAAACTAAATGAAAATGTTTAATATAATCATTCCATTAATTCAAGTTCGGGGACTATATTAAGCATTTTTGTATAGTTCAGGGATTACATTGAGCATCTACTAAAAGTCTAGGGACCACATTGAACAAATTAAAAATTCATGAACCACATTAAACATTAAGCTAAAATTCAAGGATTACATTGAACAGATTAAAAGTTTATGGACCATATCATACACTGAACCAAACTTCAGGGGCTATAGTAACAAGAAATTTCAGGAGGATATTATATAGTAGTTGATAATTTAGGGGCAAACGTGTACTACCACTAAAGTTCACGGAGTTTTGTATAGTTTTCCCTAATATATATCTACTATCGGCATAATTATCCTTTTTATCCTTGAGCAGTTGATGTGTCGGCAACGGATCAATCCCCGCTAGATGTGTCAATCACCTCATCTCGACAGCACCAAAATTAGAGAGCCAAATAGGTTTATCGATCTTGGGTGCAGGTGAGCGTTGAACTTGAGACCTCTTTTTTTTGGGCGAAATGTCATAATCGAGATCGACTATGTCACGACAAATTACAATATTGGTGAGTTGCACCGAGGGTAATTCCCAACACAACATGAGAATATGACTCGATGCTAACACGAATTTATTGAGAGAAATCAAAATTCGATATGACATGACACTAAGCAATTTGAAACCGCTGTGTTTTAACACATTTTACGTACTTTTAGTCAAAAAATTATATAATTGCGCTGAAATATTTTTGTCATAATATGAACACAAGATGTAAACACGAATTGCCAGCCTTGACATTCAATCCATATATTTATCGTGAGTGAACAGCAGAAATCCAATCATTTACCTGGAGAGATCGTTAAAAGAGAGCCATGTCCGAACCCGTCAACATATTTGGTTGGACTCGCATTTACTCAAAAGTCTAAGCCAATGATTTAATTTAATCCACGATGAACGATAATATTTTTTTTCGTAAACACTCCGTAAATGATATAAGTCTTTCCAATCCAAAAAAAAAATGAAATTTAACTGGCATTTTAAGATTTACCTTATTTTATGCAAAGCTTCGATTTAATTAAATTTTTGTGTTTTAAATTTTCGATGGAGAATGTAATGTGATTTGTTTGGCAAATCTCTACCTTTTCATTTGTTTCATCCGATCATCCCTTTATATATATATAAAAGATAACCGATACCATACAGTTTGATAGTGATATATGCACAAGAAAAAATAACAGTTTATAAACATGGGACTGTATCGATAAAATTGTTCATGTTAATATTTTTCTATGTTCTACTTAACAATTAATCTATACATATGCTCGACAATGTGGAAACGAACTAGGTTTCCTAAAAATTTCTATCTTCGATGAACCTAATTTCTACATAGGTAAAGTGCCTTCGATATAAATGGTGATACTCACGGAATAAACGAGCAAAACAAAACAAGCGATATTCTTAATTAAGGCAATCGGACTTTACAGAGATACTAGAAGAACTTAAAAGAAGGGGAAGGAAAGTAAATAAATCGGGGTTGGAAATAATTACATATTAAATAAAACAAGACAAAATATAAAAACAAAAAAAAAATTCCAAATTGAAACGCGCCAGGTAGGGGTCGAACCTACGACTTTCTGCTTAGGAAACAGACGCTCTATCCACTGAGCTACAGGCGCAATTACATGATGCGTATGGCATTGTAAAGTTATATCACCAAAACTAAGGATAGAGAGAAGCCGCATACCACCCATTATGGACCGGTTCCGAAAAATTGGAAACGAATAGGTCCATGGAACCGGTCCCATCAAATTTCACGCAAATGAAGGTGATCGAGAGCGAGAGAGGGAGGCGATGAACGGCCGGAGGCGTGGCTATGAGTTGATAGGAGTTGAGAATCGAGGTAGTGAGTTGATTGGCGATGAGCTTAAGAATCAAGAACATAAATGAAAGATAGAGAGACGACTCAGACAAAGTGAGAGTGAGACGAGACGAGCACTTAGTTCATGGGCGTTGAGCTTCAGATTAGGGATTTTAGAATTTTTATTTTTCTTAAATTGTTTTCTTGTTTTTTTTTTGTTGGAAAATTTTCTTAAAAATTATATATATATTACCGGTCTAGTCCTAGTGGGCGGTTCTACATCTAGAATAGGGAACCGGACTGTTTCTCACCGGTTCTAGTAAATTGGACCGGGAATCGGACCGGTCCTCACGGGAACCGCCGGTTCTGGTCCGGTTCCGAGCGGTTCCCGATTCCTTTACACACTCCTATATCATATTGTCTCGAACCCTTTTCCATTCCCACGTCTGTTTGTCCATATTTTGGCTCTCCCATTCATTTCCAAAAGTAGTTGAGCCTACCCTCACGCGAAGTCGAATTTTAGGCGTCCGATGCGCTCGCATCGTTAAAGTATTCTGAGCATGCATGAGATGATCGACGCGGTGTAACCAACGTCGATTTATCCGCATGAAATGCATTCTTGTTGATTTGGTGTTTGAAATTTCGAACTTTGATTTCCCACTAATCTATACCTCTTACCAGTTATTGCAACGTGGCATGACCGCTACTACGCAAATATCCTCTCCTACGTGCGACGGGCGAAGCCATTTGCGCGTCGGATTCCAATCGTTACTCAATAAGTTATTAAGCAGACAAAGTCAACACCGCACCACACCGGCATACAACCACTACACCCGGTCCAGTATCGAACCTGCAATAAGATCAAGCAAGTTTACGCGGATCGAGACAGGTCTATGAGAACTCCGATTCAGATTGCAGACGACGCATTCCAGAAAAGTGACAATAAGAACAAGAAATACATCCGCTCCCTGCTTTATCAAATTATTTTCCATGTTGATAATACACAATGAGAATCGGGTACATATTCTGAGTGTTCCAAATCCTAGAGGCAAGAGACAAATAAAAGTTACAGATCCCTCCAAGCACATAAAATTTTCAAAACAAAGAGACCATCAAACGCAAAAGCAAAACTGTTCCTAAGAAAATCCTTCGCCTGATCCCGATCAGGCTGCACCCTTGAACTTTGCTTCATACTCCTGGGGTGGCTGCGCAGAAAACAGGTAAAAACATTAGACAAGGAGACGATGCTAATGTAATCATATGCAACACCAACACGGAAGTTCTTCGCACTGAAAATGTGGAGAAATGCACTTGGTGAGAGTGTTTCGAATTTTCACTGTGGTGGGGTGATTTAACAATCGGTGGAGATGCAGAAGCAGAAGTGCATTTCTAAGCCTTGCGACCAATGATCAATTGGATAAATTTATACAGAAGTAGAAAAGGAGAAGAAAGTGGAAGTGGGATTTGCTCGTTCAATCTGTTAATCTTATCATGGCATTTATCTTGAATATATTCTCCCTAGCTGAGTTAGCCAGGAGTTTAAAGTAATCACTTTTAGATTCTCAAGTCCCTTGTCCCATGTACAGAGGGGAATTTGAATATTATGTTGATGCATACAGCTATCATGTGTGGACGTGTCGAAGCCTATGCCATGTAGGCTGCGTTTGGGAACGCTTTGGGGGAAAGTCTTTGGGGAAATGTAAAGGACTTTAGGTTGAAGGGGTTTTTCAAAATGCAAATTGTGTTTGGTAAGTTATAACTTAAAAGTCCTTTGCAAAGTAATTTTGGGTAAAATAGCGTTTGGAAAAATTATACTTGCAAAGATCTTTTTTTTTTTATTAAAAATGTTGAAACTCTTCGCCGGCTCCGTCGAAGGGCAGCCGGTCGCCGGCGATCCAGATCCGGCGCCGGCGGCCGTCGTCTGAGGCGAAAGGACCTTCGGCAGCCCTCAGCGACCACCGACGAGGGCCGCCTGGGGTCAAGCGACCCCTGACGAGGGTCGCCAAAACCAGGCGAGGGCCGCCGGCGACCCAGATCTGACGCCTCGCGGCCCTCGCCCGAGGCCGACCGACCTCAGCTCGTCGGTACCGACGAAAGGACCGCGACTCGTCTGAGGCGAAAGGACCGCGACCCACATCGCGACTGAGGCGAGATCCGGCGCCGGCGCCTCGCAGATCTCGCCTCAGACGCAGATCTTGACCGACCTCAGCTCGTCGGTGGTCGCCGAGGGCTGCCGGAGGTCCTTTCTCCTCAGACGACGGCCGCCGGCTCTGGATCTGGGTCGCCGGCGGGCCTTGAGGTCGTCAAGGTCGCGCGATCTCAGGCGGCCCTTGCCTGGGTCGCGTGACCCCTCGCGGCGGTCGTGCGAGCCCAGGCGACGGCCGGTGGGTTGCGCGACCACGCTGGCCCCCCTCTGGCCGGTCGCCGTCGCCTCACAAACACAGCTCGTTGGTTACCGATGAAGAAGACGATGAACAGTACATATGAGGCCAAAACCGGAAAATAAAAAAAAAGATGAGGGTAGTTTCGGAAGAAAATTTTTTCACTTACTCTTGGAAGTTGTATGCCGAGAAAGCTGAAAAGCCCAAGGCAGCCTAGGACCTGCCTTGGGCTTTCAGCCTTCCGAAGGCTTTCTTTTCCTCAAGGTGAGTTGCAAAAAATTTACCAAACACCCAATATTTGGCTGAAGGAGCTTTGGACCCCTAAAGGCCCTTGGGAAAGCTATTCCCAAACGCAGCCGTACTACAATCCAAAGATGAAATGCGTACCATGAATATTGCCGATATTGACCTCCCTGCGAACCATCTCAGATGCATTGCACGCTGAGCATTCATTGCTGCCGGTACATTTTCAAACCTTAAATACACCCAACCAGCGGTATTTCTGCAAAAACAAAACGTATAAAAGGCTACGTTCAGAAAATGCGAGTACAGTTCAACTGAGAAAACGAACACATTGAACATGTATAAAGAGTGCTCAACAAATAATTGCTTAGGCAAACGCCAAAATATCATTCAGAAGCTCCATGGCAAAAGGAACCAGTTCTTTTGCACAGAAAGAAAATCCTCTAGAGGTCATGGTCATATCAAGATAAGTTCGGCAAAAAGTGCCCCATGAGTGTTCAGATTGTTCTTTTGTGACAATTAACTAACTCCTACTGATGCTCAGCCTCTTCTGAGACCCTACAGTATTGTCTATCAAAATTTTACTAACAGTGAAAGAATAAGTTTAGAACCACTGCAGCAGGATCCATGATGAAGCCATCCTTTAAGCTTCCAATGAAACTACTTTATCAATGGGAAAATGATACAATCGGTCCCTGAACTTTAGCCCAATGTACAATTTGGTCCATGAATTTTTAATTTGTTCAATGTAGTCCCTAAACTTTGGCCCAATGTGCAATGTGATCCCTGAATTTTTAATTTGTTCAATGTCATCCCTCAACTTTTGGTACATGTTCAATTCAGTCCTTAAACTATATGAAAATATTCAATACAGTCCTTTCCATTAATTCAAGTTTAGGGACTACATTGAGCATTTTCATATAATTTAGGGACTGAATTGAATATGTATCAAAAGTTCAGGGATGACATTGAACAAATTAAAAGTTCAGAGATCACATTGAACATTATTCTAAAGTTTAGGGACTATATTGAACAAATTAAAAATTCAGGGACCAAATTGCACATTGGGCCAAAGTTCATAAACTATTTGTGTCATTATCCCTTTATCAATTTAACTCCAGGATATTCCAACTTGGTGCCTTCTATGGGCACACGGATTGCAAAAAAGTTTTGATGTTACTGATGTATAAAAAACTGGAATCAATGATCAGTGGCATCAAGTAAGGTAAAGAGAATTTAATAGCATCCCAGACTTTGTAGAGTTACTACACATATCGGGTTACAATACATACTTGTCCACGTATATATGCTTCACCCGGCCAAATTTGGAACATTCTTCTTCCACGTCCTCCTTTATGTCCAAATCAAAATCAGGCTCCGTCTGCAGAAAGAATTTCCCATGAGTGATAATCCAGAAAAGGAAAGACAAAAAAACAAAAATTGTATCATGAAAGTCAATTTCACTTGAAAGGAACAAAAAGATCAAAGCTCAATACGGACCTCAGTGGCTGGATCAAACAAGTTCTTCAGCAGCAAGCACTCAGTCGGGCTTCCAACAGCTTCAGTGGCTGCAGAAATAACTTGTGCAGGAAGCATAGCCATAGGAACTGCAGCTTGCTTGTTGAGAGGCAGGTTAACAGCTTGTTGATTTGGAGCTCCATTTAGTGCAGGGACTCCAAGTGAACCCGCAATACTGTAAACATGGTGAAGCGAGGTTAAAACAAATACTTATTCTCTATCTGGAGAACAATAAATACTGCTGGCACAACAAACCTGGTGGCAATTCCAGTTCGATCCAGCTTCTGCATTAGTAAGGCTCGTGACTGAGCATTTAAGGCCTGCATGAAGCGCATACCACAAAGGATATATCATCCACCAATCCAAAGCAGTAGCATTTCCAGAGCAGGCAATTCTTGAAAACTGTGGTAAAAAAACTCACATGCAGCAGATACCGAAAATATTATGCTAATTGTCAACCACAACCTCCACAGCTAAAAGCAAAAACATAAACAGCAGAGAATATGAAATTTCTTTTCCCCACTCTTATCCTTTTTGTTAAGGGAAAAGATTAAATATGTCACAGCACTAAGCCTTTATGGACATTCAAAATTGTGTCAACTTCAGCTTAGAGCCAATGTATCTCAACCTTGCATGTTTGGGAGGACTTTGCTCTACACAATTTGCTTGTCATTTATAGTGGTGTTCAAAGTTTAGACTCTAATTCAATATTGAACACCTGAAACCTCGAACAAGGCAAAGGCCACAAAACAATAAAGAAGGTGCCAAAATTGATGTGGCCATTTATAATCTATTCATATTTTCTTAAACTTAAGATAGTGCTCTTGTTTTGGCAAGAAACAAAAAAACTACTTTCCTAAGCCAATCTAAACACGTGTACGCCTTTAAGAGTTGAACTAAGTTGCGTCAAAGCAGGTTCATATAAATCTTTCAGCCACATCAGATTCTGGTTCTCTGTGAATTTCTGTTGAGTTTGAGCCAAAATGTTTAACACTATCCCATGAAACAAAACCACACTAGTCAAGCTTCTCATTTTGCTTTCTTCAGGGATCTTAGATATACTGGCACAATAACATTTCAGACTGCTATGCTCTTAGGCAGTCTTTGACAGAGTGTATTCCCTTCTCCTGTGAGCAAGCAAATCCTTTTCTGCTAGCCTTAGTGTAGAGGAAGAGCTGCTCATTGACCTAGAAGACACAAGCTCAAGTAACAATAATGCATTTTTTTAATGCAATAGCAACAGTACTTATATTTCACAAGCCTCCCCAGAAACTTGAATGCAGGAGAAAGCTCCATGATCTTTTACCCAACTTTCTGTAGGAGAAACGATTCCTTGTTTCCCTTGAAGAAGCTTTCTATTTTTATTTTTTTGGTCGTCCCTTGAAGAAGCTTTTATAAAATCAATTTTTCGCGAGTTGCCAACTATGCTCCTCTATAATATTTTGGCTATTACTATCGGAAGATAGCTATTTCTTGCATGAAGATACTAATCATCCTGATGAAAAATTCTGATGCATATTTGACAATGCCAAGGTGTTCCTACTAAGGTTACATTACAGCATCCAAAGTGCCAACCTTTTGTACCTCAAATATCTTCTATAACAAGAAGTATAAAATGAAGCTGTCACTTACCAATCCACCTTCATCATCATCCAAATCCGCAGACTTTGCTGTAATATCTTGTGCTCCGACATGATCAGTTACAGAAGAAATCTGTACAGTAGATAAAAATGTACAAAATTAGCAGAACTCCAGAAAGGAAACAAAAATCAATGAACAGTGAATAAAAGGAATAAAAACCGTTTAAGCACAAAAAGGATGAACAAGGACAGATCTGATTCCAGGAGACTCAAGCTTACCTTGAGAAAACGACCAGCGATTTCTAACTTCCCATTTACGCTTTGAGCGGCCTTAGCATGTTCAAGCTGAGCAAACTGCAACGGATAATCAATTAACACACCAAGATTCTAAAAACAGGGGAACAACCACTAATTCAGCCAGAAACATATACAGACTTGAACAAACCCAAAGCCTTTGCAGTGTCCAGTCTCTGGATCAAGGGGCAGTTGCACCAGCTCAACAGGACCAAAAGCCTCGAAAATCTAAAACCCAACAGCAAGGTTCATACGTTAATTAAACTTGCAGAATCAGAAGGCAACTATAAATGAATCTTCAATAAGCTGGTATAAAAAACAAAGTCAAGCAAGGAAATGAATATTCTACATTCCCATTTATGATGCTTTCCAATAAGTTGTCCACAACAAAATCAAATTGGATAAACCAAACAACCTGCCCCAGCCCCTTATTCTCTTACAATAGTAGTCGAAATGCAAAAGCAGAGTGTCTTTAAACAGGCAGTGATGATTTACAAAAGAAAACTTACACTTTTCAGATGACTTTCTGTCATATTAAAATGTAAATTCCCCACGTAGAGTTTCCTGTCTGTGGCTCCATATGCTCCGGCAGTACCTGAAGCACCAGTGGCGGTAGACTGAACAAGATTCTTCTCAGCCTCCGAAGGTTTAACCATCACAGGTTGCCCAAGAAGTAGCTGTCCAGAGAGCGCTATTGCCATTGGTACTGACATTGCATCGTAAAATTCAATATACCTGCAGCATCACGAGGCTCCTCTAAGGTGGTCAGGACATGTATGCCACCAGAAATTGTGATCAAAACTTACAAAGCATAGCAAATTGAAGCAGGGAAACAAAAACTCTAGTGAAGTGAGCTCAAGCTGAGGTTCGTTTGATCAATCTGACGCCTCATATGAAAAGAAAAAGTTAGCTCATCGCAGTGAAGATATAAGAAAGCAACGACGAAAGGTAATTATAGAAGATAAAAAGAGCAATGCAAATGATAGAAAACCAGGCTACAATATAGCTGTGCCTAATGTTAACTTCACAAGTATCTAGTACCAGCACCAATATCTCAAAAGAGTATGAAACAGAAAGAATTGAATTAAATTGTCAAACCACCACCCATAGGAAATTCAATTATATTAACCACCAGTAGTTATTTTGATTGGATCAGAATCGACCAATAAGCGTCCACGCAAGAAAATGCATATACCTGGTTTATCCCTACATGAAACAACCATCACTCACTAAGTATGGGGTGCAACATTCAATCCAATAATTTAATAGCTTCCACATGTGGTTCGCTGCTCTGTGTAACAAGAAGTAGACATGGCGAAAATAAAAGGAACTCAGGGTCATGTCATCTACCTTGGCAACGCAGCATGAATTGATAAAACATGAGTGCAAGGTATTCCCATCATCCCTCATCATTATCGCATTGCTAGTGAATTTAAAAATACAGTTAAACTTGATCCTTCAAATAAGATATGCTTAAGATACTCTACAGGCATGTAAATGTCATAAAGCTTTTCTATGGCGAAGCACATACCCAACACCTTTTGAACGTCTTGAATTCCTGTCCATTATCAACCTGACGTCCCTTACCTGTAGACAAGGAAATTACAACTCATGAAACCAGGATCCATATGTGCTGTCAAGAAATAGAAAAAGTACACCACTTTTTATGCTGGTAAGAGCAAATAGTCCAACAAAGCACAGATGAATATAAATGATCAGGTCTCTCATTCAAATACTTATGCATGGTACCAAAAGATGCTTGTGCAGGTCATGCCAGTAGTAATTACTAAAATTCGGTCCAAAACCTAACAGCATTGGCATAGGGGGGAACAACTCATAAATGTAAATGCATTTAATTTGCAAAACAGATTCCTTTGTAGATATGCTGTTTTCAGAGCTCTTTCGGTCAATAATTTTGCCTCTCATCAATGCTCTAAGTAATTTTCTCTTTACTCATCACAAAAAAGAAAGTACACAGATTAATCAATAACAAAAAATCAGAATAACCAGAATAGCGGAACAACCAGAGCTAATCTCCAGAAAGCAGAAATAGAAAGATTTTGGCTGAAACAACATTAGCAGCGCCAAACTAGGTATTAAGAAAAGCACTCAGTCTTCAAACAGAAAACGTTCAGTGGCTCATATAAACTGTTAAACCCTAACCTTGCCAGCTTTTGAGAAAAATTCATAAGCGTCTCTCTCAGCTGCTTTCAGAGGCATCTGCAAAATCAACACCATAAAGAAGATCACACCAGGACCATTTCACCAAATCTAAGCTGGCTAAAGCAAATCATATAAAAAATTCTACCTGGTAAGCAAAAACAGTTCTCTGGTCCCTTTCTGGATCAGCTTCAGGTTCCACTGCCTCTTTCTTGTCCTTAAATCTCCTGCATATTACAATTTACATAAAATAAGACTAATGTGCAAGGAAACAAAGACAATACAGTCCAATACTGGAAATAATTAAAAGTACTTATTAAATGATACTCATGCAGATGAAACTTTCCTGGGTAAGTAGAATTTTCATCCAAGAGAAAGGCCATAATGTTATAGACACTGATATTAGCAATGACTACCACCAGTTTTTTGTAAAGTTTTTAATTAGGTCAGAAGCAAAAGAGAACATCAACTTAGGTGAAAAGATTGAAAACACAGGATTACGTTAAAAGGCAGTAATTAATAGCACTCCCAATTCATGCTAAAACGAACAACAAAGCTCGAAATGCCAAGTGCCTTATGGTCTATATCAAAGCAGCAGATAGTTAGGTATTACTTCCTGTAATTCATCTCATTGTTTCAGATTTCATTCTTATCGGGTGACAGATGGTTCCACGAGAAAAACTTGAATAAATAAAAGATACTCCAAGTCCACCCAGTACAAATGCACACAAAGCAGGGATGGTTTCATTACTGTTTCAATATTCCATTAAATATGACATTTTTGAATTATTGGTCCCTTTTCCCTGTGCTTAAATTATATAGCTAGAGCACAATTGTGAAAGAAGACGCTTTCCTAGCATGGAGCTTCCCTACAATCACTGAACTTCATTTCAAGTTCAATTTGCAAGAAATGGAGCTCGAAATTAAACATAGATTCAGCAAGCAACTGCTGTTTACTGTTGACATCACATTGTCTGCTGGTCAGGTAGAGAAGACCAAGTCAAAATCCTCTTGTTCCACATACCAATGATTAGGACGAACAGCTTGAGAAAGTGAATCCAATGGCTAATGGTGTATCGAGGAAAAAGACCAGGGGTAGAAAGGAGAAACATATTGATTTTTTAGAAATTAATTATATAGTTTACTTTGCTATATTATATATTCACAGTAGTTGATTGTCTAGATCCAGCTATAATTTCCTTTTTTCTTCAGAATCCTACTGAGTCTTGCATTTAGGTCCTCCAAACAGAATCAGGATGCAACACTTTGTAGTTCATAACTGATTTATCACTATTAACAAACATGTAGAGTGATGCACGAGACAACATATGTAGTAGCTATATATTCAAAAGAATAAAAGCATCGAGCTGATTTCAGACCACTATCACAATATCAATGGTACAGAGAGAGAGAGAGCAGCAGGTACACAGTTTGACAAGGGGTGTACAAAACATTCATCCTTGTTATTGAGGCCGCAGCCTCTAGAGTTTGCAGACAATATGAGTTCACGCTGACAATAGAAAAGCCATAACACAAAAGACATTATCATATGTGAAACTTCATAATAACTTTCCTAAAAGCTAAAAATTCAAAATTCACTCCAGAAACATCGGTCAGAAAGTTTATGCCCAAAACCCAATAACCTTTCGCTAAGTGCTAAGGATAGCTAAGTCGAGGTGATGAAGCTCACTCAATAACTGCTCCACAGCAGCAAGCCTCTAGGGCAACCAAAATCTCACTGGCAAGCCACCAATTCTAGGTAGTAATTTCACGTTATTTCAACAAAGCAGCACGATCTCAACTACATGATCTGCAAAGGACATCAAAGAAGCGATACAAACCTGTTATCGCGAAACTCGACCTCTCTTTCCCTATCGAATTCACCGTCGTGCCTCAGTGAGCGGCTGCTGCTCCTCTGCGACCGACTGGCGCTCGGGCTTCTCCGCGAATGGCTGGCGCTCCTCCGCGGCCTCTCCCTCTCCTTCTCCTCTCTCTCCTTCTCCTTATCCCTCTCTCTCCTCTCCCTCTCCTTCTCCTTCTCCCTCTCCCTCCTCTCCCTCTCCTTCTCCCTCTCCTTCTCCTTATCCCTCTCCCTATCTCTCTCTCTATCCTTCTCCTTCTCCTTCTCCTTCTCTCTACTGCTCCGCTCCCGCTCGCGGTCCTTCTCTCTCTCCCCATCCCTATTCCTATCCCCCTCCCTCCCGCTCCTGTGCCGCTCCTTGTCCCTGCGGGACGCCCTGTCCTTCTCGTCGCGGTCGCGGTCCCGGTCTCTCCTGGAGCCGTTCTCCTCCTCCCCATTCCGAGACCTCTTGCTCTTCCGGTCCTCGCCGTCCGCGTCCTCGTCCGCATCGCGCCTCCTGTAGCTCTTCTCGCCCTTCTCCGGTGGAGCTCCGTCCCTGCCCCTCCGCGGCCTGGAGGAGTTGTCGCGGTCGTCCTGGTTCTCCACCGTCTTCTCCAGGTACTCGTACTCGTCGAAGTCCATCGAGTCAGGCCAGGCCGAGTCGAGGTCCCTCCGCCGGAGATGGAAACCCTAGGTCCGCCGCGACGACGGTGGCGACGGCGGCGACAGGGGGGCGGGGGCTTCGCGGATTCTAGGGTTTTTCCCCGAGAGCGACGAACGAGAGAAATCGCGAGGTGGTTCTTCGGTTCGAATTCGATCTTTGGGGGTCCGGCCTCGATTTGACGTGAGATTTAATTTGGGAAATTATTTATGAGATTTTAATTCACTGAAAATGGTGAACGAAATGCAAAAAGGAAAAATATCAAAAATAATTTCTCATTTTTTTTATAATCCTGTGAATAAATATCGCTTTCGCGTATTTTTAAGCATTGGAAAGGAAGAATATATCAAGAACATTTATCGTTTTATTTACGAATAAATTAATTAAGCCCCATTTTGGAAAATACCGAACCTTGGAAATTCATTTTAGGGCCTTTTTTTTTGTTTAGGGTTTTGAAGGTGCAAAGTGATTTTCAAAGTCATATATATTTGATATTTTCGAAATATAGGTACGTAAGTAATTGTTAAATAAAATACGAAAGATTTTTTTTTTTATAAAACAAACGACCATCCCAACTGTTCATTTTTTTACCAGTCAAATATGTTTCCGCCCTTGAAATAAAACGTTTTATATTTGGTTGAATATTTATTGCAAGAAAAATACTACCTACTTTGCGGTAAAAAGTTTCATTTTCTTTTGGTTGAATAAAAAAAAATTTAACAAAGTGGTAAAAGATTTGTCTATGTAATATGTATACGAATCGACGAGCTTGAATTCTTTTAACGATAATGGCATAGGAGCTGCCTCAACTTTTTCGATTCGTAGAATGTCGTTTTTGAATTTTTTTTTATTCAGTTAAATCTTTGAATCGTATATATTTATTTGTTCAAATTGGTCCTTCGGCCAAAATGTTTAACGAACATGCTGATGCAGCCGACAAGTGTCATGATGGCACTTGCGTGCCTACACTGCCATGAAAAAAAATGAAAAATAAAAAAAAATGTCGCGAAGAAGAAATTGCAAAAAAAAAAAGGGAGAAAAATGGGTTTGCGTCAAACGATTGTGAAAAATCAAAATAAATTTTTGACATGGCGATTTAAATAAATTCGCAATATTCAATTTAACTCCATATTCAATTTAATTATATGTCCACGACATAAAATAAGAATTTTAGATTTTAAAATATTGTCTCAATGATCACGGCAATTCTGGGTTAGGTAAAAAGTAACAAAGTGTGGAATTGAGGAAAACAATAAAAAACATTGCATATTCCTCGAGATGCCACGCCACCTATTTAATATACACACCATTTAATTTTAATAAATATATATATATACATATATATAAAAGAAAAAAAAAGTTAATGCCATACACCGACATTTGCCATGGCCATAGGCTCCAAGCAAAACCATGCATATGGTTAATTTTACTCGGTTCGGACATTAGCATATCCTTAAAAGGCTTCACTTGGTCCACGAGGTGTAAAAACAAGTTTGGATATTGTTGAAGTTGGGGCAAAGAAAAGGTGAAGTCTGGGCTGATCTTCAACCTAGGCCCAGATGGAGCTTCCAGCATACCAAGTTGAAATTCCAACGCCACTTGAACACAACTTTGAAGATGAATCTGTAAACCCAATTAAAGGCTGCATACAACCTTTCTGAACACAGAGGCAGAATAATTTGCAGAACACATAAACTAGCATTTCCGGGGAAACCGGAGAATTAACTTGTGAAATTGCAGAATGAGAATTCAAAATAGGAACTACAAGCAAACACGGGAAATTCTCGGTCGGCGATGAGAGCTTTGTATATCACTAACTTACAGATGCATTATTAGTCCCAAGAGAAATGAAACAGTAAAAATAGAATCATACACAAATTGATTCGACCATCTTCCAATCCATGAACACTGACTACAACTACGTGGCTACCGAAGATGGATTTAGGTTACAAAACAATAACCATCCAAATGAATGCAGCTAGACCCATCAAGACAGGCCTCGTCTTCATAAAAATCATATGATTCTGTCAAGAGGTACGATTTCGCCTTTCCTTGTGACTTTTTCCCGAGGCGAAATAGTTTGGGGCATCGTCATGCCCCCAGATACGATGATCTCTGCAAAATGGATATTCTCATTTAGGTAAAAATACTTCAGAGATGCTTCTATGTGATGCTTACAATAATGTAGATGATGCCAGATTATTCCGACTTACAGAAGGCAAATTTACTGTACAAATGACCAGTGAACTCAGTGAAAGCGATTTTTAGAGGATATAAACAGTTTTAGCGAGCATGGATGAGAAGACATGAGGAAAACAACGGCTTCAATTGCTGCAAGTGAACGGTTCCCATTGTTAAAGGAATGCTATAAATCTCATATATGATAACCATTTGGGCCCTTAGAGCTTCGATATCACTGACAGCAATAAGCTTAACAAAGTATAGCTAGAGCTTTTGGATGCACACACATGATAGATAAACATGAGATGCATCGCTTGCCCTACTAGAGAATGAAAGTCCATCTCTCACCCGAAATTAACAATCTAAGTTCCCATAAAAGGGCACTTGCAATATTTCTTTTCCAATTGAAACATGAAAACAGACCTGTTTCTTCAGAAACTTTCTTGTAAAACAAAAAATAGCAAAAAGTATAGAGCATCCGGAAAGAAACTCAATCATAACAAAAGCAACACCATTCATCAGCATGCAAATAGGAAATCGTACCTATGCCTTCTCGGATTGAGAGATTAGGTCTTATGATGTCTTTGGAATTAACAAGGAATATGTCGCCTATATATAGATGGTTTGTTGGGACAAAAACACTACACAACTCCTCATCTTCATTGTCTTTCTGTATGACAAAACCATAGTAGGTAAAATATGCGGAAGTATAAGCAATACCAAAACAGAACCACCTTTAAATTATGTATTCTGCCCATTACATTCTGGCTCAGGCATCAATAGCTAACAGCAATAAGACAACCCTGCAGGATTTACCCGGTCCACTATAGGACTATAAGACTAGACTAGTGAAAAGTGCATCAATGAAAGTTCCTATTTCTAGAACACTGATCTTAGGGCCCGAACAACCCCTTTGTTCGCCTTTTTTGTAATGTGACTCTTGTTTTCTTATCACTCTAATGACTTGTATACAATGCACTACCTTAGTTTCTCTAACAAATTGATTTATCTATAACTTAGTTCATTTAGAAGCATGCTGAACTCAAACTTTCTGTTCTGGTTTACAGTGGATCTTCAAGTTTCCAATATAAATTTTCTCCTTTACCCTTTGTTTTGATTGTCTATTAACATCAATGAAAGAATTATTTTTTTTTTTTGCTTTTCCTTGATTTATAGGGAAAAAGATTTGTAGACTCAATGGTAAGAAGAATTATCTGATGCATAGAAATGATAAGTTTGTCAATTATTTTCTGCTAAAGAAGTAATTTTGCTCTTGAATTCTCAGTATAGGGATGGTGAATAGTAACATAAGAGAAGCACCTGAAGGACGACAGTTGATGTGATGAAACCAAATGCATATTCACCAATACGTGGATGGCGGATAATTGCAACCTCTTTAAAGGCTGTCGTGTTTTGGTCTGTAGGGAAAAACAAACCACCCAGTTCAAGCATGCATGCCATTGTTAAGTTCACAAAAGATGAACAAAAAGAAAGAAAAGGCTAACCAACCATAAGAAACAAATGATTAGTAAAGAGGAAGCCCGTGTCTGAGGCAAAGTTAATGTCACATTTCTTTCTCCCCTCCTTCAAAGCTATTCTATTACAAAAGCCTAAGGCTGTGTTTGGTCGTCTGGATTTCTAATCCGGACAAGACTGGATAAGATTAGTTATGAAATCCTGGAAATTTATTATATCCTATCCCCTATTTGGTGAATCACAAGAATAAAGCTAAATATTTTCATATCCTAGCTTATACCTTATTTGGTGGAAACTACATATCAATGAAAACGACAAATATATTACTGCCATGAAAAAGTACCATATTTATCATCATAAACTCCCAAATCCAATAAAGAGAAAGGAAAAAAAACTCCCAAATCTGACCACTTTATGAAATTTGCATATTAATTTGTAAAAAAATGTTATCGGTCAATATGTAAGAAAGGCTTTCCATTGAAGAGTCATAACATCAGCAAATTGAGCAAGTATACCCAAATAACAAAAAAAAGCATGCATTATACAAAAGAAGAGTGTCTGCTAGCAAATTTACAGCAAGCGGTTTTAATAACTCGAAAACAAAAAATCATCCTGCACTAGGAAAAGGTAAGATGGCATTTTGTCCAAAAAAAAATAAAAATAGAGATTGAACTGCTCGGAGCTATGGCACTTGTGGGGCCATATCAAAAGCACACGAGATAGTTAAAGACCAGAACAATTGCAATCTCGGTCTTTAACAAAAGTTGTAAGTATACAGTAACAATGTTTCTTTAGCCCCATCAACCTTAATTCTCCCAGACATCAAAACCACCATTGAAGCAACTAATCTGTAGAAGAAATCCATCAATAGCACCTGCTGTGTCACTGAGTTTGTATGCACTTGACATAGTCCCTTTTTCTTGAGACAAACTTCCACAAAACCACCTTTTACATGGTAATGATTTTTAAATATACAAGCATTTGATCATACCAAAATCCACATCTACGTTATTCACAACTTCACAAGAAAAAAACATTGTTCGATGTTGTTCAATGTCATAAAACAACACGGATGCAGATACACTGATTAATGCTGCGTAAAATCGGAGGAATCAAATTGATATACAATGAGAGAAAGCATGATCATTGACCTTCGTGAATCCAAAAAGTATAGTGTTCTGACTCGCTCGTTGCTTTTATGAAGTTTCGACGTGAGCCAGAGAGCTATGGAGGAGAAGGAGAAGGAGAAGGAGAGGGTAGCTTTTTCAGAATATAGCTTTTACATCATGAACATGAAAAATCCTATCCACCTTTATCCCACCTCCACGTGGGATATTTTTTTTTTTTTTGGTAACCGAGGTGTCCGGGCCAGCTTGAGCGCACCTCGACTATTTCTCGGGGGAGACTAGCACAGCAACCCACCGCCATGGCCCCCCACTTAAATCACAAGTGCACAGCCCGGATATTTTTATCCGGGCTAAATTCCTTTTTTATCCGGCTTTATCCTATCTTGAACAGCAACCAAACACCAGATAGGATATAATTTTTCTTTTGGTCGCTAGATAGGATATAATTATTTTATCCTGATTTGTATCCCGTTAACCAAATGTAGACTAAGCGTCTTCATCCAATTAATAAGATTTTAATCATGGACAAGCATAGAACATACACGAGGTCATCAACAGTGTCCTTACGTTCAGAAATGGACCAAAAGTAAAATGCCCAACTTGGCAGGACAGCAAACAAATCTACTTAAATTACATACAGTACATCTGCATTACTGAACTACTAATTAGAAACAAAATTTGTATTTCCAAACTTCCATTAAAAACTGGGATTGACAAAGCACAAACCATTCAGAGAGTACTATTCACAATGATTACTATGCAAGGATATAACTGGTTTTGCAGTAGTTGACTAGGCAGAACAAAGATCTAATAATCTTTACCAGGAGAAATTGCTGCACTAATTTGCTTAGAGGCTGAGTATATATGCTTAACGAATGGCATTCGCTTGATAAACCACTCTCCAATCCAGAAGACAGTGGAACCCAGCCATGATGAAACAAAAACCCCAACAAGGAATACAAACATCAGAGATGTGACAAAGCCCAGCCCTGCAAAATAAAAGATCCAGAGCTTTGTAAATCATTATGTTGAAAAGGATGGCCTCATCAGACTAAGTTGAAAAGGTCACAACATGAAGTATATGAGAGTACTTTGTATCTACATAAGCGTAGAATAGATAGTTCAAGATTTGTGCCTTCAGAAAACCACATTTAAGTCAAGCTGCCAATTGTGAATCAGGGCCTTATTAAGAAGTTTGGGAAGGGAGTGAGAGTACATAGAGAAAGAAGCTTCCAAGCAGAAAGGGGTGACTAGAGATTAAGATATGTAGAGGAAGAAGAGGATAGATCCCACTTCTTATTAAGTTATCACGGAAAGTTAATATTCTCTTTACTGGAATAACAAAGACAAAAATCAGGTCATTGATGTGCCCAAATACCTAAAATGAAAATTGATAGGTAAGATCCAAGGAAAGGGGAATGCAAAAGCCTAAGGTTTCCTACATGAATCAAGTGGAAACAGTCTTCAAGTCAAAGATTAGGTTTAAGCAAACATAAGTCTAATGTAGCACTTTGTCATGTATCACCCTTATTGACAGCAAAAACATCTTTCTTATATTTTATTCTCCCATAAGCATCTAGCTCAGGCAGTATGAAATGCATGACCAGTTTATAGGCTATTCGTTAAGGCCTACAGAATTGTCCAGAAGCATTTTTTACTGTTCTTTCTAAAAAGTCAGGCAGTGAACTATTATGACAAACAGCTGCATTTCATGCAATCCTAAACGTTTGCTAAGAACATTTGGCAGGCTAGCACCCATGAAATTCAACTTTAGAGAAATTAAACTAAATGAGTCTTTTTGGATTCACCACTGAATAACTCTATAAAAAATATTGCTTCACTCATATGGCCAATGACTGTGCTACATCAGACAACAAATATTTGCAGAATATGACAAAAGAACATTTTTTCACTAAGCGCTCGCTACTTACCAAATATGTTTATCCCTAGCTGGGCATAGAGGGGACTGAAAAAACCATCAACAAATTCAATAAACCACCATGTGATAAAAAATGTGACCGCAACCGGGAACAGAACCACACTGCAAATAAACATCAATTATATCAGTCATCCAGAAGTAGTAAGCAACCAATCATTGCATATGAACAAGTAGCGAAACATGTTACCATCCAGTCATAAACTTCTTTGAGATCCAACTCTGAAGCACAAAACAGCAAGCCTGCCAAAATAAGTGAAAAAATATATAAGCCTTGCAAACATATTGCATTCATTTGTCACAACCTTCACTTGACAGATTTCCTACTATAATAGAATCTCCTTTACCAACACTTAGAATTTTACCACACTTGAAGGTACTTTACAAAGAAATTAAATTTCTTAACTCGAACGAGTGTGTTTTACCAAGTACAATTTTTTTATTGACCAAAAACTAGTCATGTAACTTCACTTGATATTTTTTTTTATAAAACATTAAATGCTTTACAATATATTAGGAGGGTTTACTACAAGATACATACTTTTGCTACGAAAGAGCAAGTTTTATTGTGAGAGCAAGTTTATTGTGAGATTTTGTGGGACCATTGCTAACTATTATAAAAGCTTAAGCTCTTAAATGAAGGCATGGTTTATTGTTTAAATATTCTAACACTCCCCCTCACGCGTAGGCTGGACTTTGGCCTTAGCCTAAAGCATGGAAATATGCAATTGGGAAAGCAAATAATGGCTTGGAAAGATTTGAACTCAAGACCCTTTCCTTTGATATCATGTGAGATTTTGTGGGATCATTACCAACTATTCTAAAAGCTTAAACTATTAGATGAAAGCGTGGTTTATTATTTAAAAGTATTCTAACGTTTACAACCACTGAACCGAGCAATTTACCACACTTCCACTTATTTTATTGCAAGATGGTTATGTTTACCATGATTAAGCACATTTAACCAAACAAAGTACTATTATATTAGTATATACCTTTTTGGCTCAAAAGTCAATATGAGATAGTGGCCAATAAAGAAAAAAGAGAACATGAACTAAATGTAGTAATTACATAACCCACTCTAACATGGATGAGAGTTTTTTGGCATACACCATGGATGAGGTTATATATAAAGAAATGACAATTTTTAGTATCCAGGAGATATCACAATCACAGAAGGATTGTAAAAGACGATTTATCATAAACCAGACTAATACCCTTTAATTAATCAAACGAATAGATATCAAATATAGTGGACAAAATTTATCCATATGATTCCATCAGTTATCCCTCAAGCAAAATCTATCTATACTTCACTTATAAGGGTATAACAGTAACTCCTATTGGGGGTAATTTTCTACAAGGTTCTCTCTCTCTCTCTCTCTCTCTCTCTCTCTCTCTCTCCACTCCCTGCAGTTAGCTATTGCTTATTTTCCCATCTCTAACCACTCTCTCCATGTCTTATACTCATTCCTTTAAATATTACTTCTGCTTTCCCTTAAGTTCTTACATTTCATGGAATTCTTAGTGTTTCTAGGTAAGACATGGTTTCTCTTTTCATAGCCATTATACAAATTAGTTATGTACTTTTTGCACAGCCATCACGTGTGCATCCATACTAGTAATTATAAATGCGTTCTATCATAGCCAGCAATAAGATTCGCGCTGGATCTAGTCGTTGATGACAATACATGACGAGGAAAGAAGAGCTCTTCAAGACTTTCGTTTGGTCTTCTCTGTGGAATTGTAAGGTCTCAATCTTTTCATTGTTATCAAAATTCTTGTTGCTGGTGTTGATGTTTGATAAGGTATGAGCAGACACATGAGACAGTGGAGGGGATGAAGATGAGATTCGAGATTTTTCAGGGAGAAACTCAAGCTGATTGTATCCACTAAGAAAGGGCTTGGCATCACTCTTCATGTGTGATGATTGGAAGACGGCAGAGATGGTAAGTATAAATGCCTAATTCACTAGTCTCGTCCTCAATGACCAGATCATTGGGGCAGGTTGACGAGAAAATCTTGAGCATATATATCCATTGAAGGGGAAAAAACAAGCTGTTGAATATGGGTAACCCAGACTTAAGTTCCTGCTAACCACTTGAGCAGGTGAAAATGAGATATTGAGGTAGTAGACTGAGATTATATCAGTTGTAAAAATGTTGCTTATAAATTGGATTACGTTAAAGGATTGTCATGAACCTAGCTTTGCCCAAGCCCAGGGAAGAATCAAAATTCAACAGACCTAATGAAGCCACACTGCAGATATGGAGGTAAAGTCGACAAGGTGCAAGTGATCCCGAGGAATACGCTCGGTTGGATATCAAAATGCATTAAGAATCACAGACTAGAAATATTGTTTTGTTACACTGAATTACCGTACTTGCGAAGCTCAGCCATCACCAACGTATGGACCATGACAAAGAATTTAATGCAACCCATAATTCTCCCACTTCCCTTCACCTCTCGTCCTTTCCCTTCCTTCACCGGCGTCCTCATCAACTCGGCTCTTTCCACTTGCCTCCTCTGCCCAAGACAGGGACCGTACAAAGAGACCAAGAATGCAAGGACAGGGACACGGAAAAAGACCAAGAACACATCTTCAACCTTAAATTCCGCGACTTAAAAATGAATTCACACTATCTGCCTCTCCAAAACGCCCATAAAGGTTCCGAAGCGTCGAAAGTCAACTAACAGCACACATACTCAAGAACCCAGATACGAGAACCCAACAAAGCAAAGGGTCCGCCCCGAACCCGGGACGGCCACAGCGAGAATGCGGGTCGGACCTGGCGGGTGGAGGAATTGGCGGGAGAGGGCGGGCGGGCCTTGACCGGATCCTCGGGATCTCCTCCCCCTTCGGCGGCCTCGTCGATGTCGCGCTGGCCGCTGCTGCTGCTGCTGCTCAGCGGAACAGACGTCGACTCCTTGTCGTCCGCCATGGTCGTCGCCGGCGCCCTTTTGCTCTCGTTCCGAGCTTGGAGAGAATGGAGCAGGAATCTTAGCGATTTCGGCGGTTGACTTTGACAGATTTCGTGGAGAAGTGTGGATAGAGAGAGGGAGGGAGACTGCGGGGTTAAGCAAAGGATTAGTGTGTGGTTGGATGATGATAATGATGTGTTTTCTTATTCTTGCCAGATCCCGCAAGGTGTCATGATGTGATGGTTGCTTCAATAGAAATGTTAGATGTAATGATAGGTGTATTTGCTATTGATCTGTGGAATTTGACAGGATAGCACTCTAGATCTGCCCCCAGATTGTTTAGGAAATTTTGAACTTTAGAGATCGGAATTGCGTAGAATTCATTTGTTATGCACATGCTTTTGAATAAATTGTTCTCGATTTGGCTTGTGGTTAACAGTGAGTTTGTGCTCAGTCTTGTAACGATCTAAATCGGCGAGGGCGAGAAGTGATTATTGAGGCTAGAGGGCTCGGATAATGAGCAACTCCTTGCGAGTTTTTAGGATGGCAAAGGGGATAGGAGTAAATTGAATTGCGCACCAAGAGAGGAGCTTTCTTGGATTATATATTCGGTATTTTCACAATAGTAAGGTCACCGATAATAAGACAGACAACTCATCTTCTTGTGTGCGGCTGTGAAACTAAAATTGACTCACCAATATGCGCTTTTCGACGTAATGGCAACTTTTATAATTGAAACGAGAAAATTATCAAAAAAATCCTAATTGTAATTGTAGCAATTCAAACCTAAATTTTTGTGGAAAAATTCAAAATAAGAGCTTGAAGTGTTCTCATTTTCTCAAATAAGGGCATAAAGTGAATCTTGTTTTAAAAAATGGCTTGAAGTGGTCCTGACAGTTTCAAATAAGAGCCTGATCTCATCGACCGACTAAATATTCCGACCGGTTAAGGGCATTTTCATGTAAAGATAGTTTTAACCTAAATTTTAGTTAAATTAAAAAAGAAGAAGAAAAAGATACAAGCGGAGGGCCTGGGTTTTTTCTTTTTTTTTGTGTTTTCTTATTTTTTTAAAGTTTTATCCTTTTTTTAATTTGTCTTTTTTATGAATTTTTTTGGATAATTTAACCTAATTTAATTAAGATTTTATGTAAAAATTAGGATTCATATCAAAGCGACATGGTTTTAATGCTCTATGTAGAATGCCACGTAGGAGAGATAAAATATTAAAAAATCACGTCAGTATTTTTCATTAGTCAAATTAAACAGGGTTAGTGGCATGACTTGATTCTGGGCGAGGGTAGGGCCTGCATACCCTTGTCGGCCATTGGCGCCTAGGTCATCGCTAGCCATGGGCGAGACAAGCCTCTAAATTTGGCGAGGGCCGGCCTTGCCTATGGCCGATAAGGGTCGCTTGGCCAACCTCGCCCAGGTATGGTATGGGTGACCCTCACTCGGCCCTCTTTGGTTATCGGTAGTGGCCGGCCACTGGCGAAAAGGAAAGAAAAAAACATACAAACGAAAAAAAAAATCAGAAAAGTGAAGGACAAAAATGCCATTGACCAGTTGATGAAGTCATGCCCTTCTTTGAGTTTGACACAATCACTTTAGGCCTTTATTTGAAATAAGGTTTACTTCATATCCTTATTTGAGAAAATGATGACATATTTCCTGCCCTTATTTGAAATAAAGTTCACTTCAGGCTCTTATTTGAAATAAGGGTTAATACCACGAAAAACCCAAAACTGGTACACTTGTGACACATTTACCCCAAACTATTTTTTTGATCATAAAAAACCCTAAACTGGTACACCCGTGACAATTTTACCCCAAACATACCACAAAAAACCCTAAACTGGTACACATGTGACAATTTTACCCCGAACTAATTTTTAATATTATTTTTTTGAATTTTTTTGAATTTTTTCTTTTTTCTTTTCTTTTTTTTTTTTTCCTTCACCTTCAACCTCGGACCGGCGACCGGCCAGAGGCGGAAGCCGGCGAGAGCCGCCCTCGCTAGACGCCGGATCTGACGAGGGCGACCCTCGCCTGCGTCGGGCGAGGGCCGTCCTCTCCTGCCCATGGCAAGGGCGACCCTCGCCCGAGGCTTAGGCGAGGCGGCCCTCGCCACGCAGCTGGCGGGTCGCCCTCGCCCGGATCCGGCGAGGCGGCCTCGCTTGCGTCGGGCGAGGGTCGCCCTTGACTGGGCGGGCGAGGACGGTCCTCGCCCGACGCGGCGAGGGCGGCCCTCGCCGACGCAGCGAGGCGGGGGCGGCCCTCGCGGCTTCGCCTCAGGCCGGTCGCCGGACCGGCGACCTGCCAGGGTCTGAAGATGAAAAAAAAAGAAAAGAAAAGAATAAAAAATAAATAAAATTTCAAAAAAAATAAAAAATAATATTAAAATTTTAATTCAGGGTAAAATTGTCACATATGTACCAGTTTGGAATTTTTTGTGGTAAGTTCAGGGTAAAATTGTCACGGGTGTACCAGTTTGGGGTTTTTGGTGGTCAAAAAATTAGTTCAGGGTAAAATTGTCACAGGTGTACCAGTTTGGGGTTTTTTATGGTCAAAAAAATAGTTTGGGGTAAATGTGTCACAAATGTACCAGTTTAGGGTTTTTTGTGGTATTAACCCTTGAAATAATAAAGGTATTTCAGACCCTTATTTTGAATTTTCTCATTTTTTTTTGCCAATTGAGTCTTAAACATTTTGCATTTGTACCAATTTAATCCATCTGACCAATTTTGGCCGGAAATAGCTGACATGGATATCGGCAGTTCTACGTAGCACGACCGGTACTTACGTGGACAATTTTAATTAATATTTTAATATTTTTTCCAATTATTTTTCTTTTTCCTTTCCTTTCTTTTGTTTCTCTTTTTTTTTTCTCTTCTCTTCTTCCTTTAACTGGTTACCAGACCTCGACGACCAGCCCTTGCCGAGTGGCTGACAAGGTCAACCTCACCGATCCTCATCTTTGGCCGGTCTTCGAGGTTTGGCGACCAGTTAGAGGAAGAGAGGAAGGAAAAAAAAGAAAGAGAAAGAAAAAAAGAAAAATTTTAAAAATATTAAAATATTATTAAAAATTGTCCACGTCAGTGCTGACTGTATCACATAGGATAATCGACATCCATATCAATGATTTCCGGCAAAAATTGATCGAATGGACTAAATTGACACAAATGTAAAATGTTTAAGACTCAATTGGCAAAAAAAAAAATTTAGGCTTGAATTGACACAATCGCAATAGGTTTATGACTTTTTTGGTAATTTTTCCTCATTAGACCTATCAAAATGGGCAATCTCATGGGAAAGTGGTTGTATGTATAACAAAGGACAAAACCATAAGGCTTGAAATGGGACGGATTTTTTTTTATCGGAAATATTATTGGTTAAAGCGGATATTACATCGAGTGATAATTATATAGCAAAGTAAAAATCATATAATTGACCGGTTTGTCATAACTGAAGTATATCAGTTTGTCATAACTACCCAGGTTTTTCCGTACGCAAACAAGAAGAGACCATTTTATAATCTTTTGCTGCTTTCTTGAGTACTTCCAAGTAAACTTTTGGGAGCTGAAGATCATCTCACGCACACTAGCACTGGCATTAGCTTGATGAACTCGAGTGACATCTATTCATATCTCGCATAGATTCGAGCTGATTACATCACAGATTCGAGCTGATTACATCATGTTAGATGACAGAATGCAGATCACACAACCCTTCTTCTGCGCCTCCGTCTGCTCTGCTTTCCTTGGCAAAACTTGTCGACGATCGCCAATGACCGACCCGCTTGCAAAGCCCATCAGCACGATTTTCCAATCGAGTTCTTCGATGCATGTCCTCGAGTCCTCGTTGACAAACACATCATGGGACGGCGGAGGTGGCGATGCTTCGAGATTGCCTCATTTCTTTGTCAAGGGAGCTCCGCAGAGTCCCAAGTTCCCCCCGTAAGAGCCATTCTCGAATGTGTTGAGCTGCTTCTCTCGAGCTATAGGCCCAGAAAGACGGGTGTCCGACACGATGAAGAAGGCGAGGGAAGTGAGTTGGGTTAGCTCCGGAGGGATCTTTCCGGTGAGCTCATTCCTTGACAGGTCGAGAGCTTCCAATATGGTCAAATTTCCCAGGGACGAAGGAATGGAGCCGGCGATGGCATTGTTGGAGAGATTGAGCAAATGGAGTTCCTTCAAACTTCCGATGGAACTCGGGATTTCTCCGACAGAGCCGTTGCTCGAAGGGTTGATCACGGTCAGGTACTCCGAGATCTTGTTGTGCTCCATGTCGATTCCTTTGTTGAGTATCGTGAACGAAATTTTCGAGAAAAGCAAGTAAAGAGGTCTTAAATGGGATCATAAACGCATGCAAGCAAACCCGTTGAAGTGGTCTCCTGGGGCCAAGCCCACTGCTATTTTGGACCGAGAATCACTTGGGCCAATTCTAAGGAAATCAGACAATCCGGCCCACTTGTTAAGATTGGGCTGAAGAAAAAAGGGAAAATGACACAAACAGTCAATGAATTTTGGTCAAATGTGCAATTTGGTCCTTAAACTTTTGATTTGTTCAATATAGTCCTTGAACTTCAGCTTAATGTTCAATTTGGTCCATGAACTTTTAATCTGTTCAATGTGGTCCAAAGACTTTTAGTACATGTTCAATTTAGTCCCTAAACTATATGAAAATGTTCAATGTAGTCCCTGAACTTGAATTAATGGAAGGACTACATTGAACATTTTCATATAATTTAGGGACTAAATTGAACATGTACTAAAAGTTTTGGAACCATATTGAATAGATTAAAAGTTCAGGTACCAAATTAAACTTTAGGCTAAAGTTTAAGGACTACATTGAACAAATTAAAAGTTGAGGGATCAAATTACACATTGAGTCAAAGTTCATGGACTGTTTGTGTTATTTTCCCAAAAAAATACTTGTTAAGATAGAAGCAAAACATAAACTTTTGGAAAAATAGGTTGCACACTTAACATAAATGTCACTAGTCGTAATAGTATGAGGTCTTAATCTATCTTCACTCACCTATGATTTTGCGGTGGATAGGAGTGAGTAACCAAGTCGGTTCAATTTGAGAATTGAGCCGAGCAGACATTACTAAACTGGTTCCAAGCCGGTTTTGCATGAAGACCGGGTATATTCCTTGGTGAAGAATTGGGTAATAGGCCTTAACCGATTTGGTTCCTGAATATAGATATTTGTTTTAGATAGGTTTCAAGACTAGGAAGTTTAGAAAATCCATCGATCCCTTAACCACTACGCTACAGATTGTTCACAATGATACGTTTACCCTATAATAATAGTTATATATTACTTAAACTCAAGCCTGGTTCTTGATTGACCTTGAAATCATTTGGTTCTTGTTCCATTCCCAAAGGGAACCGGTTAGATTCTCGGTTCCAAAATTCATGAATTGACTCTTGGAACCTACCTATACTGAAATCGATCACCTCCAATATCAGGTGTGGGAGAGGAGAACTAGCAAGATAGGAGAAAAGAAAATGGGTGAAAGGGAAGAAAAGCAAAGGAGTAATCGAACCTATCTCTTCATGTTGTTATGTCAACCTCTCAAAATGAGTAAATCGAAGAGGTAAATTTAGTCTAAATCGAAAGGATCTCAATCTTCATAAATATGGGTATCCAAAAGTAAATTTTGTTAATATGTGGACCCCAATATTGATACCATTCTTCTCTTTTTCCCCACTCCTTTTCTTTATTTTTATTTACAAGGACAAGTTTTGACCTCCATGGCAGGAGCGGTCGACGGCAGACTTGCATCAACTAACGAAACACCAGGAGTCCATTCAGCAGACGTCGGCTTGGTAAGCATCGTCGATTTGCAATGTCTTCGATCAAATTTTCAAAGCTCATATTTTTTCCTTCTGCTTTATTTATTTAATAATTTATTAGTTGAAAAATGAGAATCGTTACCTAATTTTGTACCCTTAAATTTTTAAAATTCTAGAAATTACTTTTTTTTTCCCGAGTTTTTTAGATTGCAAAGCGCAAATTTTAGAAATATAAGGGTGCGGGATTAGAGAAATTAATATTGTATATGAAAGATGTTGCGAGATCGTTGCTGGCTATTTTGAAAATGTAAGCGTTTATGTCGTGCCACATTATGATGTTAAAATATCCAACTCAAAAATTTTAAGTTTTTAAAACAGATGTTTTACACGGTATCAGAGCATGAGATACCGAATTCAAATCTTTACAAATCTCTTATTTGCCTTTTTTATTATATATTTTCACACTAAGTTTTAGGCCGAAATCCAGCCTAATCATGGTGGGTAGTTAGAATATATACAAGTTAGATCACGCCTCCATATAAAAGCGTAGGCTTTTAAGTTAGACTTTACTAACAACACATATCCATTGATGCAACATGACATTCCCCCTTCTCTCCTTAGCAAAACCGTCGTGAAGTTTTCAAGGTGCGCCGGCTGAGGGAGACCAACTTGCTAGAAGTCAAATTTAAGCAAAAATGCATGGGCCCGAACATCGTCGGACGAAACAAATCGACGATTGTCGAGGTATATCCATTGGAGCTCGAAGGCATCTTCTGAGGATTTCGAGACGTGAACGAGACAGGCTTTTTGGTTTCGAAGAGCTTCAATTCATTGGTTGTTTGAACCGACGAGGTCAACTCCCAAATCGGCATTTGGTCCACTTCACAGTTCAGACCTGCAACACAACTTTTTAACTAGCTTTGGAGCATTCATCCTCCACAAGAGGAACCCTTCCAAGAACTTGTTTAAGCCACATCATTAGCAATCATTAGAGTGAAGTGCAGGAAATTAGCCAATTGAGATGGTAGAATTGAATTGCGATCGTGTCCGCTTATCATGACTTGAGTAAAATACGTAGTAACTTTTGAAGGTATCGTGTCTGCCGCAACCGAGATCGTGTAGGATTTGTGCTAAATGAGTAATATCACAGTTCGTCTGTCGAGACATTTCATCTTGTTGTAATAGATTGAAGGTTCTTGGAATGTCAATAACTTGAAAATTAATCAGAAATAGAGCACAACCAATGAACACTTCCAGCTCGATGTCTCCAATAATATCCTTCTTCATGCCATCAAACGATCTCATAGTTACTTTCGTTAGTTTAATGAATTCTTTACTGATCCTCAATCGGTGTAGTGTACCTAATAGGCATGGATTGAGAGCAGAGCCATTATCAATTAGCACCCGTGATACCTCCTTACCTTGGCACTTAACCGCGATGTGTAATGCTTTATTATGTGAGCGTCCGTTCATAGGAAAATCCTCATATGAGAAGGCGATATGATCTTTAAGGAGAACAGTGCCAACAAAATCTTCCAATTGTACTTCGTTAATAGTTTCTAGCGTATGTACCTCGTTGAGAAGCTTCATAAGGACCATTTTGTGTTTTTCGGATGTTTTGAATAGGTCCAAAAGAGAAATTAGTGCCGACATCTTCCTTAATTGCTCTATTACCTCGAATTCACTTGTTCTCATGACTTATAGAAGTTGCTTGGCATCTTCCTCTGTTACTCTCTTCTTTTCCACTTCTCTCTTCATTAATATCTACTTGATCGGGTCATGGCATCAACTTCTTTTGCAGAATAGTCCCATGATACGCATTTAGTGTCAAACTCAATTTTTGAGAGTAAAGCAATCACCACCGGTTGCGGTTCACCTTCGTCAATCCTTAACTCTTCGATAGGAATTTGGATAGTGATCGACTCTACGTGACATTCTTCTTCTCTGTACTTGTCGACTTCGTCTAGTTTAATCACAAATGGTGTAATCATGGACACCATTCCTTCGTCACTTACTTCGTCCATTCCACCTTAACCATCATGTATAATGGCCTTGTCACGCACCGTACTCTACCGGAACGCAACATCCCGTCGACGGTCGATTATGGTGCAACGCTCCCAGGAAGCATTGCCGACCCAACGCCCAATCAGAGATCAAACACATACGGAAGCAACGTATATAAATAAATATATACACCCATACAATAAATCGCATGAGACTAAGGATAGCCAAGCAATAAACAACGATCAACGCAGAAAATATGTACATACTCATATCACTATTTTAAAACTCTTTTTACAGTGCTCCCAACAACTCAAATAAAACACCAACTCCTAGGAATAACCAAACAGCCACTTCTCCGATCTGCTCCGTCTCCACAGGGGTGCACGCTCAACGACCGTTGGATGAAATGCAGCATCCCAAAAAGTGGTGGTGTCCTCGGCATCCTACGGCTGGGGGTCTAAAAATGTTTCGGTTTACACAACCGTGAGACGAATCTCAGCGAGTATGACCCCCCTAAACCTAGGCTAGGCTAACATGCAATCTCCTGACCGACAGCACAAAACAACATAACCAACCAATTTATAAATAAACTCCGACCTAGGCCCTCGACCCGGATCTCGACCTGGTGACCCCACGGGTTATTGACAATCATGATTTAAATCAAGTCACATACGCGAGCACTCGGTTCACGCGTACGTCAAACGTATGCTCATACTTAATAATGGTAATAACGCGTGTCAATCACCGAGTCCCGCACACCCGCAAACCGGCCCATGCATTCTTATGTATGCAATGCTATCGTCACACCATACTCATGCCTCGGCTCACTAGCCCACACTGGCACCTTGGCACTTGCTCAATTTATCATTTATTACGACCCGCGTAAAACGCATCAGGTCTCTTCATTTAATCACAATACTTCGTGGCCCGCGTTAAAACGCATCAACTGGCCCAGTGTCTTTAGCCCGCGTCAAAACGCATCAGGCGCAACACCGATATCCTCACGAACCAGAGCCCGCGTAAAACGCATCAGGTTGGTCGTCTTTCGGATGTACCGGGCATCGTCCCGCGTAAAACGCATCAGGACGGCACACCCCGCGTAACACGCATCAGGGCGAAATTGTGATCACACATACACACAATCAATTATTATCTGCACCCCGCGTATCACGCATCAGGGCATTTAGGTGATCACATGCTCATGGCAGGCACGCATTCTCGCACAATTCGTCACACGCCTCGTTCCCGGCATTCACTATGCGTGCCATGAAATGCAAAACAATGCAACATGAGCATCAGCACAATTCAAGCATTCAGTTAATTTCATGCCGCAACAATCGTTCACTGGCCAATTAATACCCTGCGGCTCAATTCCACAATGTGCAATTCAATAATCCAATCAAGCCATCATATGGCCAATCACACTCCGCACAAGTCGGCCACGCAGTCATGCGACATGGCATTACTCAATTTCCCAA